TACTTCAGGTTTGCTCTGTGGATTAAATGTTCAAGTACAATGTTCAACACATGCTTTCTAATATTCATTCCATGCACTGGAGATATACTAATATTTATGTATAGCGCTGTGTTGTCTGGGACGCTTACTAGGTATTGGCTCACGCACGAATGCTACGACAGACATACATTGACCGTACAGAGGAGGAAATGTAACATACCGTATATATAGTCAGTTAAACATATATTTAGGAATAAGCTCGTCCAACAATCAGGCCACACGATTTCAATAAATGGGCATTCTGATTCAAAACAAGAAGTTAGGCCGCCGCCAGCACGTTGCTACGTAAATTTGCATGAAAATGTGTCCCCAGGAAACTGTCTTCTGATTGGGTACCCTCGAAAGATTACATTATCTTTTTGTGCAGTGATAATTCTACACGAGAATGATAGTACTACGTAAGTCCGACTCTTCTGTTTATACATATCACCAGCAACCCCGTGAAGTCAATTATAATCATAAAAATGTGGATAAAAAAAAAAATGGTTTTAAAATCACACTACAATCTATCGAAATCCAACCAATAAGAATGTACGTTTCAACGAGTTTGCGTGAGCACACTTGGCTTTTTATACTACATCCGGGTTGATTGCCATATCCCATAATACTCTAACAAAATGGCGGAGGTGAGAAATATTGTGTTTATTCTCTCAAATTCTTAATTTTATTTTTGAGTCCCGCGCCTTCACAGTGTTTATTTTGTCTAATTAGGCGAGTGTGATTTTGCACATTTTGTCAAATGCGCTTCCAGTTAGCGTTTTCCAAACATGTCGGTCGCTGTCATCTCTGCAATCGTTGGTGTTATGCGATCGTTGACATTCGCTTATTTTTTGTGATTCGAACCTGGAAATTATTTTCTACAAATTTACTTGGTAATACTCAAAAATATATTTTTTTAATATTAGCCTCCCTTGTTCATTCGATAATCAGAGTTTGTAATTTTATATTTTTTACTTTTCAGCCCGCTACGAGCGAGTCCAGTCCAGGTAGGTAATCCTTCTTCCTGCGAGTGTTCCGTAATTCACAAGGCGGTAATATCCATTGACAACTTTAGTGGCGGCCTGAGGAGTTTGAGAAACAAATTGAAGCCGTCTTCTGATTGGTTATTTTTCCCATTGCCCACATTTGTAAGATTTTTTTTAGATCACTCTATCAATGTATGATTTTCTGCTGTCAGTGAAAGCGCTAGGAAAAATAAATAAGCATAACAAGTTGTGTCACGAAGAGTCGCTGTGCGTCAAGCGTCCTATCGAATTAGAGGGTACGCTGATCTTGAGGTAGTGACAGCATTGTTTGTGTAGATAAACTTGTTAACTTGCATCGCTTTATTAGAAGTCAAGCTTGAATGTATTTTTCAATACTTACTTTTAGCTAGTTATCTCGCGCGGAAGTTGGAAATCTGTGACTCCCGCATTTTCTTTTTTTGGCAATTTTTGCGTAACAGTGAAGTGCGCCACAAACGGTAGCATTGTCTTATCCAGGACGATCAACTACTAGTATTTTATTACACTACTGAAACCATCCGAGATGTATGGTAATTACAAAAAAACAAAACCCACAAATAAAGTATTCTTTAGATACACATGTAATTTTCTAATGGAACTCAATAATTTATAATTTCAATGAAGATGGATTATTCAAGCATGTCATCATTATCATCACTGAGGTTTCTTTCATTTTTTAAAGATGAACATTTCATAATGTAATGCAAATTCATTCTCATTAACTTTAACATTGCATTTTCTCTCTTCTAAATTCATTATTGGTTTTTGTCAACATTCAAATCAAATTCTAAATCGTGGTCATAAATCTTTTAAAATTATATTTAAGCAATTGGCAAAATGAAAATTTTCTTTGAATAAATCATGACACAAAGTTTATTTTCTTCACCATTTTTACCATTGTTTGTCAGGTCTGCTGTCATTGAAGATGATAGGCGGAGCTGTTGGTAAATTTTTAATGATCATTTTTAATCAAAAATGTTATTTTTGACTTCTACTTGAAAACTTGTAGTACTTCGATTAGTTTGATACTTAGTAAAATTGTATATACCGGTATTTGCCTTAGACCTCTATTGGATTTGAACATTTTGTGACAATATCTTGTGAATTCTCTAATTTACGTGAATATTGTAGGTGAGAAAGAGCTATGTGCAACTTCTTCTTGAAAACTGCTTCTCCTGATAGTTGGTATAGATGTACCTTGGGTAGACCTCTATTAGATTAGTTCATTTCATGACATTCGGGGAACATTTTTCTAATTATCCATTCTTACAACCATATCCATTCTTACAACTGGAGTAAATAAATCCACTACTAAGTTATAAGAGTAGTAATATTTTTCCAGTCTGATGTTTATGTAACTATGCATGGATGAATAAATTTAACTACATTAGTAAACTTATACTTAAATTATCCTTATTGTGACTTATTTGTTTACCCAGTGGGCATTTCTGAAATTCTCTAAAATTCGTTAAATATTTTTTTTATCCAAATCGAGTGTGATAGTAATTTATATACGGTACATGGAGTTTTCACCATTTTTGTCTGAGTGATGAGAAAATGTCCTCTTTATTGTTTTTTTATTAAAGTTCTGGAGGAGATGCTTGGCAGTATTGTAAAATGTTTATTACGTATTGCAAGGACATGTTTTTGTCTGTTTCACTGTGTGCTTTTGTGAGTCCAAATCAATTGAAATGTTAAACCATATCTTGTTGTTGAGGTATTATAATAATCCGAATGCAATAAAAATATTAAAAGTACACCTACTTATATACATGTATTTATGTATGAATGAACTTTGTCAAAACAATTATTGCTTTGTTACACTCACTGCAATGTAGTTTCAATTTATGCACCAGTACATTTATTTTTTCCATTAATGGTTGCATCATTGTCACCAAATTCTTATTTACAATATATATAGATACAGATAGAGACTTTGATCCAACTGCAGAGATGTTGATTAATGATTTTGATGATGAAAGAACTATGGAAGAAGAGGAACAGTTTATTGATAGCGGTGATAGTTGTGACAATGAATTAGATGCATTAGAAAAGGTCAGTATATCATGAATCTAGAAAACATTTTTTTTGTCATTTCTTTGACTCCGATGTATGGTGATAATATTTTTGCTTTCTCCAGTTGCGTCTAGAATCTCCACTTTTAAATCACCTCCATAGTCAGTGGGTGACCACACTCATTGATTGGTGGAATTTTCCAACCAATGGATAACAGTTTTATTTTTCTCCTGCCATGCAATAGCAACCGTTAGTACGGCCACCCGTTTCTTCACAATGTTGGAGTAAATTTACAGCTGTCTGGTATACATGATATGTATGTGTAATATTATTATACATACAGTATACTTTTTTATTTGTTTTTAGTCCCCCAAATGAGGTCTCTATTATTTGTTTTGTCAGTCTTTCTTTCACCAATGATTTCTCCACAGCATTCCTCAAAACTGGTATTATTTATAACCGCTAGTGACTTGTGAACATTGGTGTATACTATGTATATTGGACTATATTGTATATAATACTAATAAAGTTTTCTTGTACATAGGAAGGTGAAATGCCTCTTGAGCATTTACTAGCTATGTATCGTTATTCAGACGATGATAATGATGTTGTAGAGCAGTCGATGAGTAGTGAGGATGAAAGCATACCAATCAACACGGATAATTTAACATTGGACAAAGAGCAAATTGCGAGAGATCTTCTTCCAGATGAAATACATGAAGATAATGGAGAAGCCAGTAACCATGAACAACTCACTACTGACCTTTATGATCTTGTTGGTCAAGCACCTTCGCAGATTTTCTCTCGCCCGCTTCGATGTAAGTAAAATATGTACAGGGTATTTGTTATTGTCTTGAATGAATAGAACTATCAAACAGCTTTCAAACTAATTTTGGAATATCAGTTGATGATAGGGAAAAGTTATACAATATTAATCAAACCTGTGTTAGTTACCACCTGCACATAGTTGACCGCCTTGCTTACACCACATCTTACAAACTGAAAGTCGTATCACATCAGTCTGGCAACACAGTGGAACTCTGAAATGGTCAATTAATAAACAGGATCTTTTTATTTTCTTTAATTTCAGCAAATACGGTTGCTGGAAACTTTTCTGGATCTGAATCAGAAGATTCCGACTATGTTCCTTATGATGATTGGAAGAAGGTACAGATAATCTAAATATTATGCTAATTAGTTTTAGGTGATATTTTTTTTTCATTCCCTGTTCAAACATGGTATGTTTTGATGTCCTGTGTGCATGGACATGCATCCTGAATCATTTTACTGGCATGGTTTAAACATATTTGAGTTACTTAAAAACAAGTATCCTGTCATTACCTAATTTTGTTCAATTTTGGGACTCTTGTATCTCGTGTTTTGTTTCAGGAAATTAGTGTTGGTGTGGACTATCAAGCAGATGTACCAGTTGGACTTTGTAAATATGATGATGCACCAGGTAATATATTGTAGTGTTTCTTACCAAGTATTGTGAAAGATTTTGAAATATTTATATTTATGCGTTTATAATATTTATAACTGATTTATAACATGTATAACTGATTCTGTTGTAAATTGGCTAAAAGCAATTCAATAGCATATTGAATTTTTTTTAAATGCGCAACAGCTTTTAGATTGTAATCTAACCTTGTGTTGAATTAGTTTTAGACATTAGAGAAGTTTTTATATTATGTTTAAAAGTTCAGACATTAAGAAGTTGGGTGCAGAAACGTTTGTAATACATGCGTCAGCTGAAGTGAGGAGAATGATATTGTATGGACAATTCAAAAATACATTTGGCGGTCTCTAATATAGAAATTGTGCATAAACAAATATTTTGAACAGATAATTTTCAAATCATGTACTTCTTTATTGCTGTGACATATACTAGTAACAAGTAGTGTGTAAATATACATTTACTTTGTAGCCTATGAAAATGAAGATAGATTGTTATGGGATCCTTCAAAGTCTCAGGATGAAAACGTGAAAGAATATCTTCAGCAAATTCAAGAAATTCCTGCAGGATCCCAGGGGGTGAAACAAATACCTACTGGAGATCATGTCAGAGATGATGAACAGGTAGCTATACCTATACTTTTATTATTATCACCATCAGGCCCAAATGATGTAATGAAGAAAGTCAGCCTCTCTTTCTCATCAGTAATGTCAAACTAACCTGTCCTCTAGTACAACTACTCCAGCCACTGGGCAGAAGGGTGGTGGTGGGTGGATGTGGGTGTTTGTTACTGATCTGCTTATTTAGCGTTTATAGCTGGTCACTATATAGCTGTATTGTATACAATACTGTATTTGATTTATTAGAAGCACATTTGCATTTATTGTGTGCTTGATCATTTAAAATATAACTCACTTAGATTGTAGACCCCAGCTGTCATTAGCAAATTCCAATCATCAAATATTTCACATGATTGTCTCAAAAGAGCACGAAGAATTGCTTTCAATTTTAAGAACAATATTTGCTTCTGATAGACTTCACTGTTCCTCCTTCATTTACGTGCCTTATCTCATTTGGAAAAGCTTGAATAGTGTGATTCAATGTCATTTATGCGCTAGTGATGTTGTTATCTCTCAGGCACTTTATCTTCTCCTACAATGTGGGCATAATGAAGAAGAAGCACTGAGACGTCATAAGATGCAGGTGACCCCTCCGACTGATGAAATGAGTTTGTGGTCAGAAGAAGAATGTCGAAGTTTTGAGAACGGTCTCAGGACGTATGGGAAAGATTTCCATATGATTCAGCAGCACAAGGTAAATGTATGAAATGTAAATATGGTTTATGAGACCATGGCGTGTACCATGGTTGCTTGGTTACTGAGTGCACTTGTGAGAGAAAAGGTCGATTCGTAAAATAGTCATTTATAAAGTTGCTTTGCTTTTTCACACGTTGGACAGACATAATTGTATGCTTCTGAACTAGTGTATTGTTGATTATTTATAAATGCTAGTATAAATTTGAGCAGTAAAACAGTTTTACACAGAAAATCATTTTACACAGAAAATCGTTTCCCAGAAAAAGTCACTTGAAAACAAACGAAAGATTTTGATTTGTTCGCCAAAAACACAAAAAAGATTTGCTTGAGTATGTGTGAAAGCAAATGGAGTGCTATTATTCCATTGCTAGTATTTTCTCCATCACTGTTGTCTAATTTGTCCGTCATTCTAATATCTTTGTGAAAAATGCATCTAGTACAAAACTGATACCCTAATAAATCAAATCATTAGGTCAAAGTGTTATGTAATACTGCTAAATTTGTATTATTTTGCTTTAAAAACAAGCTAACTTTCATTTGCCTAGTATTTTCCGTTAATAACATTATTGATTTCTCAATGTTCAGTGATGTTCCTAGGTTGTTGTCTGTATACTTAGAACCAGAGGCCTATATTACAAAATAAATTATCATTATATTCATTATTACACACCTAAGATATTTGATTTCCTGCACTTCTATCAGATTTGCACCAGAAATTTGACACATTACGTTTAACTACAGGTAAGGACAAGGTCAGTGGGAGAGTTGGTTCAATTCTATTATCTGTGGAAGAAAACAGAAAGGCACGATCAGTTTGCTAACCAAGCACGGCTTAGTAAGCCTAAATACAGATTGCATCCTGGAATAACGTAAGTATTGTCCTTTTTTAAATCCTCTATACAAGCTGCACTTGTCATTATCCTGGAACAAATGAGCATCCTGTAGTTATTCTCCAGTTTAGTAAGTTTACTACAGGGTCAAAATATGAGTAAACATTTAGCAAGTGAAATGTATCTTCTGTTTTTTTCTAGTTCTTGTGTTTCATTTGTGTGTTAGTTTTAATGAATGATGTTCCAGAACTATATCTCCGACATACTTGGATTAACCGCATTCAAAAGTTTACACATATATGTCACAAATGTGCACCATCAATTAAAGGTGGCTGTAGGACTGCCTCTTAGTTTTATCAAAATCAAGCATTTTGTGATTCAATTGTGTCTGGTCAGATTTAATTCAGATTTGGTACTTTCATTGACCATGAGATTTTGATGCATATCATTTTATTATATAAACAGATCCAAAATGGTTGATTGGAGGCCATTTTTTTAAAAAAAAGCCTATTTTGTATTCATATCTCTGTTCATGCCTTGACTGCAATCAATTTTTTATACATACATCATACATCATGTCACAAATTTACATGCAATTGTTTCATGTTCTGATTTTAAAATGACTCACTGTGTTCACTGTTGCAAGGGCTGTGACTGTTCCATGTGCCCAACTGATAGCCATTTTGTTTATTCCCTATGTCCACTATCTGTTACAAAAAACGTTGTCTCTAATATTTCACGTTACTTAGATTTATTTTTGTCAAGTGGTGCTTAGTACTGTAAAATCTGTATTAAAAGCTGCATCCCTAATAGAAGTTGCACTCATTCTTTTTGAATAATTAAGACCCAAAAATTCACCATTTCTCATGTGTAGATGCTCTAGTAGAAGCAGCATTCCCTCTGTTGCATTTTCATAGAAGCTGTGGCTACTAATACAGATTTTACTATTATATAATAGTCATTAAGTAAGTTTATATATACTAATATTATATATTACGATATGTATTTTATTATATTTAATCCAACTATTTTTCTTTCTTAACAGAGACTATATGGATAGATTTCTGGATGACTCTGATGTTAATACAACTGTACAATGTTTTCCACATTCTCATCTTCTGAGTCGACCATTTTTATCCAAACCACACCATTCAAATCATATGCATGGTCACCACCAAACCAGTAATATTATGCAGCCGCAAACTTTGAAAAACTTAGCGACAAATGGCCGCGAAGAAATTAAAAATTCAAACGTGGATAATGTCTTAGCTGTGAGAAGTACAGAACAGAACACAGGCGAACAAGAACATTGTGTTTATGAAGGCCTAGCGGAGCAACCTAAATATTGGAAATCTCACTCTGGGGTGTCAATAATATCACGTTCATCGGGTAGACTGAATACATTGCCATTTCAACATAATAACCATATAGAGGATTTAAGTAAAGACGATAAATGCAGTGTGCAAGAAAGAGAAAATATACAAAGCCTAGGAACTGCTACTACAAGTCTTCATCCAATGTCCGAGGAACTTGCAACAAAACCTTTGAAACAAACATCTCCAAATGAACCAGTTATTCAATGATGCCATTTGATCTTGAGATTTACATATGTATATATATATATATAGAAAGAAAGAGAATGAGCAAGTGAGTGAGAGACCAAGAAAAAAGAGAGAGAATGAGTGCGAGAGTGAGAGAAATTTTTGTAGAGAGAACTTTACAAAGTGTTTACCTTGTCATTATTTCATTTTGTCTTATAGTGAATTGTATCTCCCCTTTTCACTGTATGTGTTTGGGTAATTTTTTGTTATTATTTCTCAACGTTTTAATCTTTGTTTTAATTTTAACTAAAACTGGCAGTATGACTAATTCCATTTGTGAAATCTCTGCCTTTGTTTATTTTTTTGCGATCAACTTTTACCTGATGCTCCGTTTGATATTCTACAGCTAATATTAGTTGCATTTCTGCTATTTGTTTTTCCAGGAGCGTGTAACTAATTCTCAAAGAGCTCAGTTATTGTACTAAGTCTTGTGCGTTTCAGTATGAGATTTGGAGCATTGTAATATTTTTTGTACTTTCATTTTAATAACCTAATAGTGGAACTCACCAAGGATTAGTTTTTATAGAAAAAATAACTGGGACCACAAACTATATTGACTGATTGGCAACTTGGGCGTGTAGATTTGAAGAAGGATATTTGTAGCATATTTATCTCAGGACACTTGTTTTGTAAATTGATTGCTAAATAGTTGTTTGTAGGCCTTTCAGAAATTACTTTGGAAAAATATGGTTTGGTGCAATAGCCAAGATTCTTGTTCTCTGATTGCGTGACTTATATGTGTGCATATCACAAGCAAATGTGGTTGATGTGGATACCGCTCCGATCATGGGGAGTACTGTAAAACACTTTATTTTCGCTTGGAATTAATTTTCGCTATTTTTGCTGAAGGAGTGATTCAGTGAAAATAAATTCCAGCGAATATACCTTTTTTCCTATATTCTACATTCAACTTACCAAAAATGGGTGAAAACAAATTCCATACAAAATACCCAAAAAGTCTTTTCTGCGAAAATTAATTCCAGTGAAAATAAATTATTTCACAGTATGTAGTTTTCAGACATAGCATACCAGCTTGATTTTGCGTTGCAGGCATACAGTTTTTCTTTGTTAGTTCACAATATGTCTGTAAAATATATTTATTATTCATGCATGCATACATACATGAAACTGGACAAAATTTCAATTTTGTGACATCTTGGCATCTGTACACTGACGTATATCTCTGGGCGACGACAGCCAAGTTGGCCTATTCAATTGTGGACGAAGTCTCAATGAATGACAGATGTGAATTTCAACCACTTTGATGCAGCACATGCTTAGTTATGTAGCAGCCAGGGAACTAGAAACTCAACTATTATCATTGTTTCCCCCCAAATCAAGCAAGCATACTCATTTTTAATGTGCATTGAACCTTTGAACGCCAAAATCAACTCTGTGATCTTCCACAAATCGAATCAGTTTTTCCAAGATTGTTTAAAAAAAAAAAATGGATTAAGACCTGTAGCCAATGGGGAAATTATGTCTATTTCAAGCAAAATTAATAAAGGAATTATAAAAAAAAAAGAAGAAAGAAATACATACATACAAATGTAAAAAAAATGATGCACCAACATTTTGGTGTGAAAAAATATGGCACTTAAACAGTTTAACCAATATGCATTGCCAGTCCGTCATGGATCAGAATTGTAATATACTAATACATGTGGTTATACAACCTTTACAATAACAGTTAATGCAAGTACATCATGTAAATTGAATTTTCTAGATACGAGTGAGATATACTGAAATGTATGCAAGAGCAGGTACTGAATGTAACCATTATTTGCGTTTTACTTTGCCCTTAATGTAGAAGCTATATGAAGGCGAAAAATATTTGTTCTTGTCATCATGTTTGCAGTTAAAATAAACTTTGTAATATTATCAGAGTATATGATAAATGAATATTTAATGCTTTTAATTCACATTTTGTGATATACTGAAGAATCTCTAATTCAGGTGTCAGAGAAGATTGAAAGGCCTTAGTTTGGTTGAAATGTTGAAAAACAAGTCATTGAAAATGACACAGTCCCCGTTAAATTAAGTTCTCTTTGTGCTCGTCATATTAAAGCGGAGGGGTTGTCGCGAGCGTGTCCTGAAACTTGAGTTCCAAGTGGCGTATACAACAGATTGTTTATTTACATCAAAACACATGTTCCGTGTAGTAGTAATATGGCCAGAAAATAAAAACAGCCGTTATTCGGCCATCTTTGATCTGATTATGAAACACTGATATGTATGATGTATGTGCCAAATACGAATGAAAATGGTACATAAATTGTGGAAATGTAGTAGTAAGGCCAAAAAGTCAGATGGCTGTCAATCGGCCATCCTTGACCAGATTTTAAAACAAATTGTCATGGACATGCATCCTAACATGTATAAAGTACATGCATGTGCCAAATTTGAATGAAAACTGACAGAGCATGTCGAAGATACCGCATAAAAAAACAAAAACAAGATTGCATTGATTGCATCAGTACATTGGTTATTAACAATTTCGATCTATCAAGTCAAAGGACATTGTTGCAGGTCAAATTGTGCAAGAAAATATCACGGCGGAAATTGCTTGCGTCAGAGGTTTGCATAAAATCGAATACATTTAACAAAGAAGATATTGATGAAGATTTTCAAATGCGTTTTTTTTCAAACAAAAAAGGGAGAGGGCAATTATGATCATGTGACCAAATATACAAAATAGTATGCATACTTCTGCTAAATATATATTTGAAATTTTTATCAAGCTTTGCAATGACGTTGGATGAAAATGTTGTGGTAGATTCATTCATCCATATCATGTTTTTAACAATTTATGTAAGGTATACATAGAAGTCTTTGTCACTGACCTGATTAAGGTCACTTCATAACAGGTGTTATTTAATGTTTTGATTTATTTCAGATTGATTGTGTCATATTAATAGTATCAACACTATTACCCATTCTTTGACCTGCATAGAAAATTGTTTACCCGGTAGTCTTAATTCACATGAGATGTGATAAATGTGGCAGAGGTGATAAATCAACTTACAGTTACTCAAGTTGAGCTGGTACATTCATTAGTCATACTGGTTTCCAAGTTCTATACAGCAGAAATGGTACTAGTTTCTCAATTAATATTGTTGTGCTCTGTCTCCGAAATTATCTTTCACTATGTTTGTAAAACTGTCCAGTTATTCTATCATTACCCGGGTGTTTATTTTCTTCCATATACATCATACCGTCAAACACCTCACTAGTACCTTTCACTAATAATTGTTTGTGCCTCAATGATGAACTGGTGAATCACTAAATTGTCTAAAAAGATTACTCATTTCTTATCCCCTATAGTTTTTGTCTGAAAATCCCCTTTTCTGCTAAAGTATTTTTTTTGTAGTATTGTTTTAACTTGATATTTTGTTGTTGTTTTTTTCTAGAAATAAATTTTATTGTTTTTGTGCTTTGCATACCAGCTTTCTTAAGGGCGTATAATTGAGGCCTCTGTAATGAAATTATAGTATTCTTCCAATTCATGGTTAAGTACTTTAAATTTGAAACATTTTACTCACTTTGGTCTTGGGAACATTTCTATTGCCAGTTCTAACCCTTTTCTCCAATTGATTGTTTAAGCTTATAACCTTATCCTTGCTGAATTTCACAGAAAACCTCTTTATCTAAAGTTTGATCGAATTCCAGATTATTTTTATGATGTTGTCCAACAGTTTTGTCTTCATAAATTTCCATATTATAAGTTAATTTTTGTGAATATTTTATAACGTACAATATTTTATATTACGTACAATCTTCAGCATGATGCGTAATGCGTTTCTGGTGAGAGTGATCATATATGGTGAGCTATACGAGGGGTGTTCAATAGGTAATACCCCTGACACACTTCCAGTTGTCTGATCTACATGAAATATTTCATGTGTAATGATTTACATCTATATGTTGCAAAAAGGGCTCTGAAAT